ATGGCAGTGTAGCTTTAAATAACATCCAGCAATTGTTAATTGTGATTTTACCGGTAAGTTCGTTGGGTGAAAAATAGAAATGTTTCTTGAAAACTGTGATAGCAGAATTTCCTCTTGCGAATAATCATCCTACATTATCTAACTTCTCAAGTGAATAATAATCAGCGTAGTACGAAAATGTAATAACCAACATTTAATTTATGTTCCAAATAAAAGAAGAAATAACGTTGTCTTAACCCTTTGCACTGCTATGTCGAGTGCGAGTCGACATCAGGTTTTACCTCAGGTCGAGTCCCACTCGACGTTCATCCAGTCGCAGCTTTTTTTGAGAAACGAGCGAAAGAAAAGCAGAATTGCATCCTGAAAATTGTTTCAAGATATATCATACGCTTAAAAGTTAGAAAACACCCCACTGACCTCGCTAAACAAATAAAATAGTCAAACTCGAAGATGGTATCCCGCTGGAGGTAGCTATCCACGTGCAAAATTGACCAAATGTCCAGCTGGGTAAATTGTAAGCTACAAATTAAATAATAATACACTCAGAAATTAGAAAATATAACAATAGCGCGAATAAAACTGGTATTCAAGTGAATTTGTTTCCCCCTTTGCCTATTTAAATTGTCTTATTTTTTAGTTAAAGTAAATGTCAAATAAAACGCTTGAAAACGTCAACGAAATTGAAATAAAATTCGCAGTGCGAAGGGTTAAAAAGTATTTCGCGATAGAATTATTTTTCGCGTTATCGTTTCCTCTAAATTATTTGAATAATAAATAGGAAACAAAGTAACAAATAGGTATATTAGAAAAATTTAATTGCCAAAATTAATTTCAATTTCAAATAAAAGAAAATTTTAAATTTAAATTTAAATTTAAATTAAATTAAATTTAAATTTAAATTTAAATTTAAATTCCTTAAAAAGATAATCGACCTAACCTAACTCCAATCGAACGTACGTAACCGCAGGTTAAGCCATCTAAAGCATCGCAGTAGAAGACGTCATAATAGGGAACATAGTAAACTATAGTGCGCTATAACCACAAACAGTTTATCGGTTTTCAGCATTCGCATTGTTACTTCATTCGGAATAAAGAGGGACGATTATCGACAAGCGGATAAGTAAACGTTTAGCCCTTTTTCGCCTAGGTATCCAGACAAACACCGATGAGCAGAAGTGGGAAACAGGGGAAGTTCCTTTTCTGAGTTTATGGCAGGCAAGTTGGCCGTGCTGTACCGGCAGCTCTCCGGCAAAGTCGTCAAAGACTTTTACGAGCGGGTAAACGGGATTTAAAGTGACGATGATGCAACCTCAAGGTGCTCACTTTATCCTTGACGGCCTCATAAATGTAACTGATGACATTGCCAGATACGTTTGACTCGTTTCGTCTTTTCAGTGCCGCTACCCATAGAAACATCGTTGATTTTGTGTTGATGAAAACGGCACGAGACCCCACTTACTTCTCCGCTCGTAAAAATCAAAAGAGCCCATTGAACTGGATTAACTTTTCGCGCCTTCCGACGTCTGTCACGCTTACGGTCTTCTACTTTTACTGTTCTCTATTTTGGCACACACTTTATTTTCATTCGATGATCGTTGCTTGATCGATGGATCTAGCTACGCGATAAACGATAAATTAGTTTTCTATTACGTATAAGTGGTATTTACTACGTGCAATAAGCACAGATATTGTGTTGGCAACTAAGTGATTGGGGATTTTGTCATTAAGTGGTATTGACAAAATTCGCGATCAGTTAGTTACCAACCCAGTATGACTAATAAGTTAGAAGATGATATAACGAACGAATAAGGTAAAGTTGTTGGGACTACGTGTTATTGAGAAATTGATTTTTAAACGATACGAAGGAAACTATTAGTTTTTTATGTCGGAATTTGAAATTTTATTGCACATCGATTAGACCGTAGTGTTACTAGAATTCTAAACAGTGGAAATTAAAAAATCACTATGTACCGCAGCATACTGTGGCGCCACCTCACAAAGGAAATCTCAAACTAGACGTGATACATTAAGAATCTAATCGACGGATAGTAACGCTAACCATTTTTGAAAGATAAACGGAGGGAAGCAAATTACGAATGCGAGAACATATACAACGAAGTACGTACATACGTATTTATAAAATTATAACATTATCAATAAAAAGAAATATTTAATAATAAACCTACGTACCAAGATTAATTCCCATTTTCTAAGATAAAGAATTTCGAAATCCACGAATCTCTTTCAAACGTCTATTAAGTAAATAAATTTTTGCGATATTGGGAAACAAATGATTAGAAGAAATATCAATACAATTGTCTTATCCATCCCGAGAAACGTAATCGTATCTTTACGGGATGACAACAATCGGAACAAAAGTAAGAGCAAGAAATAACATAAAATGCAGTAACAGAGGTATAAGATGAATCGTAAAATGTGGGTAATACCAGTGAACGGCATTTTGAACGCTACTAGCACCATCTACGATCACTTGGCGTTAACACCAAACAATGGCTGACACGGTCAAGCAGCACCGAAAGTTTCGCGAGCAGAAAGTATTTCAGTAAAGTGACGACAGATGGCCCGATATTCCTCGTCGTGTGGTCCGTGTGAAACGGTGCAAATTCTTTTCCGTTGATTTACGATCGAATTAAAACTGACAATTATTGTTATTGTACCGTCATATAAGGAGGTAACAGATAATAAATTCGACCGTAAAACGTTAAACTAGTGTGGTTGCGTTTTGTAAGGCTGGTTTAGTGCTGAGTCGCGTGCAACAGCGCTCGTTAAAACAGCCGTAAACCGACGTAACCGTCCGCGGTGTAGCTTGTCCCACGACGACCAATGTCTCGCGATCTTATGTCTGCGTCAGGAATTTTCCTTTTAAAATATCCTTTTTGTCGCCATTGTCTATTTACAAGTTACGCTGTATCGTTGTGTTCTCACTTATTGCTAACATTGCCTCTAAACGTTGGGATAATAACTTCTTATGCAATTAGGAAACAGGCATACAAATCATCGTAAAATACATGGACGAATTTTATGTAAACATTTAAAAGAAAGAATCGATTATTACGGCAAACGTTTTATAGTAGTCAATTTAAATTTACTGTTGATTTATGATACGTATATATACCTTAAAGAACTGCTAGAAACGTTTAGCGAAAAGCTGTCAATGAAGGCATTACTTGTCCGTATCCAGTTTATTGCGATGTACACTGCAGGCTGCTATACAAACGATAATATATTACTGGTTACTTGAAATTAATGACAAAACACATTTATCTATGCTTTGTAAGATTAATTTAATATTTTACGATATCGATATTGAACCTTACCATGTGATCATTAGCCTCTGCGCGTTTCACGAGGATTAGGATGCTTTACCGTTTAAGTATCGTCGATCTAGTTTGTGCATCGACCGTAAGAGCGGCTCAGTTACCGATTCCATGGGGATTACACGTTCCTCGGGATTACACATAAAGAATAATCTCGGGCATTCAACTGCAAGTGCAAATTAACGTTATCAAACCATTTATTTAACTATCATTTGCAAATTTTCGTAAAGATAATAGCTTAAGCGATTCACATTGAAAACATTCGTAACCGCAGTTCCTAATGTTTTTGTCTCCATTAAACTCCTTTCGTTAACCTACTCTTTAACAATAATTTGCCAAATACCAGAATAATCTAAAAAATATATAAGATCTTTCTTGTATATTACCAATACGTTCCACGACAACAAAAGTAAAACATAACCTTAATTCTGTCACAATCGATCGTAACTAGAAACGAATCGAAAAAGATTTTCTAACACCAACGACAAAGGTGAGGTCAGTGAACTGTCGTAACTCTTACGTAGAACGTAATTAACATTCCAATTCGGATAGAACAAACTAAGAAACAGATAAATAATAACTTAATATTTACCGACGTAACGTTGAAAAAGTTTGTTGACTAACGGAAGGCAGAAAGCGTGAAAAGTCGAAACGGCGATCTTTTGGTCGCGGCTTCCGAAAAAGCAGCGGAAACGGCGCGGTGTGCAGTAGCGTCGGTTCGATTAGCCAAATATAGATTTACCGCCGGAAACAAATGCGGAGTTAAAAGGGACATCGCGGCTGCGGCTCGACCTCCCATGATTCCCTTTGAAAATCAATCCTGATTTATACGACACGGTCGCCGCGATTTCGTGGCCAAGAAAAAAATCCATATTTAAACCGTCGCCTGATTCGCGTTGTACCGTGTACTCAGCCAATCGTGGGATCGTAATGGCCACCGGTGAGGCAGGTTGAGTTCGTGGCGCCGTCACTAGATGTCGCCGTGATCGACGGTCGTAAATCGTCGGCAGACTCCCGCCCATTGCATGCGGGTAGGCGGTACCACGGCGTTCCGTGACGTCAGCCGTGTCCCCACCAGTTCCCTCTGGCGGCTCGCCCCACTACTATCTTACCCCTACCACCGCTACTCCGTCTCGCTATTCTACCGTCGCTCTCCACCACCACCATTACACCACCACTACCGCACCGTGGCCCGTGGCGCTTTCGGCGCTCTTCTTCCCCCACCC